ACCCATAAAATAATAATAGAATATATTAATAATAAACATCATAATAGTATAACGACACGCATAATAGTAACAAATACTAATAATTATTATTTTTTGAACAATTATATTAATAATAATTATATAAATTACAATTAGTAATAATAACAATAAGAAAAGTAATAATAACAATAGTTTTATTATTATTTTGGTGGAATACATATCTCCATGTTTTAGCCTCAAACGAGGATACAACTATCCATGTGGAGATTGAAATATCTCCAAACCGAATCCGAACTGCAGAAATGCCCATTATCCATGGAAATGAGTCTCACAGAGACCCAGTTCCAGGGACTAAGTGGGCCCTTAGATATCTCAGTTGGAAATTCACAATTGACATCAAATATAGACATAAGGAAGCATGTATTATTTTCCACATGAACATGTGACATCATCATCCCATAATTAGGTGAGCCAGTGATAAGAGGGAGAGTTCGTTCCAACAAATATGTCGTTAATTCAATTGCATGGCCCACATTCTGTCACCATCAAACCCATTGTTCGGATGGTGATGACCCTTGTGACCCCATATTGAGAAAATCATCATATCGATCATCGCATACTTTCCCAATAAATAAAGCACCATTTGAATGAAACTGAAAGCTATTGCAAAGCACACTGTAAAAGGCACACCAATGATTGGCATGTAGTTTTGCCCAAAAAAAAAAAAGCAGCCATGTATTGTAGACAACAAAAATTTTAATTATAGATTTTGTCATTTATCACCTCAAATCGCTTAGTTCCAAAGTAAGATCGCTAATTTCCATGCCAGAAAGCCTAATTGCAGCCATTGTACTAGGAAGCTCCTCGCGAGCTGTATCGGCCAGCTTTGAAAGAGACATTGCAGCTCTACCCATTGCCTGGTCCATTTGTGAGACACTAAATTAATAAACAATTCATCTAAAAAAAATGCAGAACATCATATTAAATTCCCATACTGATCTGCTAATCCCCAAGAGGTGAGACTTTCACAAACTTTAAACAAATAGGCAAAAGCAAATCAATTAATATATAGTACAAAGAAACAATGTGTTTATACATATAGGCACATAGAAAGAAACCACTAATAATAAAAAAGCAAGGAAAAATAGAAAATACGTAAATACCAAAGCTACATTTTTCTTTAGTTTTCAAACTTGCACAAGTCAAATTCATATCATCATCATCATCATCCAAGCCTTATCCCAACTATTTGGGGTTGGCTATATAAATCCTATTCCACCATTCCACTCTATTAACGGCCATACCCTTAGTCCGACTATAAGTCATCATATCTCTTCTCACTACTTCAATCCATGTCCTTTTGGGCCTAGTAACTCATCAATTCATATAACTAATAAAATCATTGTCCCAAACAAGCTTCTACGCTATGTAATTACGTAGGGAGGATAAAATTCCAGACAGCCAAAGCCAATAGTTACAACAAATCAAGAAATTCTTTACCTTTTCCATCATGATTGACACAAAGCCCTAAAATAAGGACATAATACGAGTAATATCATATGAAGATTTTCCACTTTTAGCTTCCCAAATGCAATTGATCACTAATCAACTAACATTAGGAATTGTTCATGCATGAATGTGAACCTAGAAAGTATGAGAGTCAAAAGATAACCTACAGGGTGATACAACTCCCCATAGAAACTTCTATTGTGTGGAGGATTTGTCTCCTGCTATCTACAAATGCAGGCCCTGACATCATGTATCATAGAAAACCCACATTATCCTATACCAAAGGTGACATTGATGTCTATTCGTTCTAAGCATGGAAAGAATAAGAGTTGTAAAAAATAACAGGTAAAATGCCACTGCAAGTAGTTAATAAAGATGCCTAGAATCGTCAAGCCTTCTGACTATCATCCTCTCAACAAATTTTGCAACTCTAATAACTCCACATGATTTAGACAGCAAATCTGACCTTTAGATAGTGCTTTAGCAGCATAACAATTGAGAAAAGCTACATAACACCACTAAATGGCCTTTGATAAGAACAATTTTAACACAATAATATGATTTATCTTGTTATTTAAAATCAGTGGTTTAAAAAGGGATCGGTACCCCGGATCGGGCACCCCAAAAACCCATCCGGATCGGTGAATCGACGATTCGGATGGGGAATCGGCTGAATCAATCGGTTTCAGCCTTAAAAAAAATCCAAAGAAATTATTAAAATTCATTATAAATGTTGTTTTTTAGGAATCCAATAAGAAATAGAGGTACTCCATTAAGAACTTTAATTTTTTTGCATCAATATGCGAATATTGAGATGTTCTTTCCCTATATGAACTACTGTTCACCATTAAATTTATATCACACAAAAGGAGAAGCATAGAATTATCATGGATGAAGTACATCATCATACATGGACTACAATAAAGCATACAATTTATAAAATACGACCTAATATCAAAATGAATGACGATGTCGTTCTTCATTTTGGTCACACTGGTGCCATTGATTGAGTTCGCATGACAATTCATTGACTCGATCTAGGAACGAATCATCCAAATTAGTGGGCACCTGATTACACCAAAATCCCTGAGTGTTAATGTTTTGTTGCACTCCTAATCCAAATCATCCACAATGCCACTACATTGGTATCAATCAAAAAAAATATTTACAATGATATAGTCATTCACAATGCCACTACATGTAGACTCGTCACAAATCTTCATTTTGACAAGCATGAATTAGTTCCTATTGGCAAGAAAACGTTATTTATGCAACATTATAGATAAAAAGAGTATGTATAAGCCAAACTTAGAATCAAGAAAAAAAATATTTATAATGATATAGTATGAATAAAAAAAATTTATAATGATATAGTCATTCACAATGCCACTACATGTAGACTCGCCACAAATCTTCATTTTGACAAGCATGAATTCGTTCCTACTGCCAAAAAAAAATTTATTTATGCTACATTATAGATAAAAATAGTATGTATAAGCCAAACTTAGAATCAAGAAAAAAAATTTACAATGATATAGTATCACTAAAAAAAAAATTTACAATGATATAGTCATTCACAATGCCACTACATGTATCAAGATAATATAATTATAAAATATGTATCAAGAACATACATACATTTTATGTATCAACATACATTTTATTGCATTAAAAATTTAACAATAAAATTGAAAAATACAAGTTAATTTTTCATGATAATCAAAACTTGGTCACGATTTTTCAAAAAAAATTGAAAAATACCAACAGTCAAGATTTTTCAAAAAATTGATCATCAAAATTTAGTTAATCACACAAATAACACCAATGATCATTTGAATAACATTGTTATCCTCAAAACCCCTCTAAAATCATTCAAAATTATGCCCTAATTCGACTGAAATTTTCATTTTGGCGGATTTGTTAAATCTTTTTCTAAAAACGCAGCGACAACTTCATTTCTTCAAAAATTGAGCAATAAAAATTGGTTAATCCCACAAATTACACCCAAAATCGTATGAAGAACAACATTACCTTAAAAAAACCTCTGAAATAATTCATAATGGTGCTTTAATTCATCTAAAATTTATAGTTTGGCATAAAAAGAAAAAAACCCCAACTGCTCTTGAGAAAAACGTGACTCAAAATAAAAACTCCACCACAAATCGACCAAAAAAGAGAAAATTGGCTACAATTTATGGTCAATAACATTATAAAGAACCAAAACCCTATGATATGAAGAAAATATTTGCTAAAAATCAATTGGAATCGATTAAATGGCGGAAAAAAAGAAGCTCTTACCTGTTCTTTTGAAACCGTGACTTCAAATCCCTTATTTGAGTTCGATTATAATGCTCAATCAAGATTCGATTTTGTTCCAATAATTGATCAAAACAATCCAAAATGTGATGATTTTTACTGCTTTACACTGTTCATTGGGTCTTGAACAGTGACTCGGGCGGTTCACTGTAGAGAATCACCGGTTCTTGTCTAGAACCGGGCGATACTGCGTTTTCACTAGAATCGACATAGGGTGACCGATTCCCGTGTCAAATCGCTCGAGTCCGTGCTGACTCGGCGATTTTTAAACCACTGTTTAAAATCATTCTACCATCAATTCCCTTTAATATTTCTTTAAGGTCTAGGGAGTAAATATTCATCAACTCTAATTTCAATAATTTGAAAATTCATGGATCCAAAAAATGGCATGTAAACTAACAAACATTTGGTGAATGTATTTCTTTAAAAGTCAATGAACTAGCAGAAAACACGACAATTATCAAATCATCTGGTTCGTCTCTGGCAACTTAACCAGTTCTCTGCCTTTACTGGTCCAAGTCATGCACCTTAGGTAGTAACATATATCTCTTGTCACATCCCTGATTGTTTTTCCATCTTAGCATCATTTCCTAATTAACTTAAAGGTGCAAGCAGTAAATCTACCATTCCTAGACAGGAAACACATCATAACCCACTTCGCTAGCATGCTAAACTGAAACAATACACAGAGCAAATTCATTTTTTTATTGAAATTCATTTTTGATTGATAACAAAAATTTTATTAGATTCAAAAGGTTTCGCAATGAATGCAAGGTATCAAGAGATTTCAAGGCAGTATCCCAATTGTCCATAAAATCAGGCAATACACAGAGAGCAGTCCTAGCTACACCCAGATTAGCAAGTATATCAGTCTCAACATTCCCTTTCCTCAAGACATGGTGGAAAGACAGGTGTTCGGATGATCCAATGTTGCCCATCTCTATGAGAAGGAATACATCCTTACAGAAGTGAATTTGTAAAGAAAAAGTAAAATGCCCCTTAAGGGTGGTAGCTAGTAGATCATCATCATCCGAATCTTATCCCAACTATTTGGGGTCAGCTATACGATATGGGCATAAACAAAATAATGGGAAATTTATCAAAAATAATTATTCAACATTTTACCCAATTGGAATTATTAAAACTCAAGGCCATGTGTTTTTTTAGGGGTGTTTTGAAATTAAAACATAAGATATGGGTGAAGTGTTAAATTGTCCATCTCTTGCGGGTAGTTTATAAATTTGCCTAAAATAAAACATAACCCTGATATTGATATGGTGAAGTGTTAAATTGTCCATCTCTTGTGGGTAGTTTATAAATTTCCCTAAAATAAAACATAACCCTGATATTGATATGTACGTATTATGTAAACTATACTCACTTACATACATAGACACATACGCAATACTGATATCTATGGCTATTTCTTGAAAACTACAAGCATAAACATTAAAGGCCATGAGGGAAAATGCTATCCACCCCACCTTCACACCCAGGAAGGTGGATTTCTCCACACCAAAGAAAACTACTATAATGTAAATCAATGGAGAATTCTTAAAAATGTTTACCAACCAATAATTTAAATGCAGGAGAACATGCTCACTCCACAATCAATGCATTTATCATTAATTGCCCAACATCACTAAAATCTAAGACACCACCAACTATCCAATGAACTGGCCAACAAACGCTTGAAACAATTCAAAGAAGCCTTTCCAGAGAATTCCACAACAAACATACCATCAAATCCCAATCATTTGACCGGAAAATAAGATTAAAAAGGACAGGAAAAAAAGGTTAAAAAGAACAGGAAAATCAAATCATCACAAGCTATTCCAAAGAATTGATGAGAAACACTCATTTGGTGGTACAGAAATTAACTTCTGATTTGCAAAATATCTGTAGCCGCTATTGGATTTCAATTTTCTGATCATGAGTTATTGATGTCAATGGCTCTGGTTACTTATGAAATGATCGAAATAGCAAAACTTGTCCTCATGTATCCACTGTTTCTAACTACAAACACAGATTAAATATCATTTCAAATATTCAATCATATTTTGGGGAGTAAGAATATATAGATATGTTAATTTGAGGTACTCTTTAATGATTTATCATCTGGAATCCATGGCATTGATATAATAACCTATTTCCATTTTTCATTTAGATAAAATGTTCTCTCAAGAAAATCAAAATAAAGACCGTGATTCTTACATAGAGAGTTGGAATGGCTGCAATAACAAAGCTGGTGAATGCTATCGAAGTCTGCAAGTAGAAAAAATTTTATGTTAATACCAAATCATAGTGGACAAAACCAGTTATGAGTTTTTAATACAAATCAAATAAGACTTTACAAAATCAATGCAACTCCACTTCATATCTTAGAAATGCCATACTTAATATAACATAAAACTGCTCATTCTATACAAGTTTCCAATGCATCATAAGCCATAAAGAGATATTTCGACATATAAACCACTATTTTCCTCAAAACTTCCCAAGCACATCAACTAAAGGTATATTGACTAGTTTTCAACATCAAAGTTAAACATGACAGTAGAAAGTTCTTTGGCCAATGTCCCCTTTTTAGTTATAGAATCCAAGAGTGCCTTTTTCTCTACAGAACTAACAAGAGAAGTTAAACTTTAATGCTTCTCTGCCAACAAAATATCTACTTATTTTTGAAAATTCAACATATATAAGAAAACTTTTAACTTGTGGAAAGGACTAAAATACAGAAAGATGTCCATTATGCGCAGCTGCTCAGTGAAATTCCACATAATTCTTATGCTTCCGCTTTCTAGCCACTTATAAATAAATAAATATTGCAAAATTGACCCCCCCAAAGAAAAGGTCTGCAATCTTGGATGTCTATATTTATGAGCGCCCTAAATCACTTAATGGAGGAAATCTTTTTCTAACATAAGTTGCATGAATGTTTGTAGCCTATTCTAGTTGTCTGAAGGTGTCTGTATAAAATAATATTGGACTGTCTTGAATAAGAAACAGATTAAGCTATATAATAAACACATCAACAAATGTATTATGGAAGTTTTATAAACTGCTGATGCTTGCTCTCTTATATGCTCGAAGAAACGGAATAACAACTTATAGTTTGTTTGGGGTCAAGTAAAACAAGTCGGATTCAATCACCTAATTGTTCACAATTCCTAAACCAAAATAGATACTAGTTAATTTTTTATAGAAGCCAGGATTGATTATAGTAAAGGACTACAGTAGACAGTCGCATGACCAATCTAAAGTTTAGACCTAGGCCTCATCTAAGGTCACCTAAAATGAAATTTGATGGAAATTCTTGGAGAGAATTACAGTATATGGTTGTATGACCAATCTAAGAATTTGGCGCAGGTTCAGATGGCCAAACCACTAAGGTCATCAAAATCACAATTTTGATAAAAGTTTTTGGGATAACCCTGAGACTCTAAATCCTTTGCAGGCAAACATTCACTTGTAGCCCTATGAAGGCAAAAGCCAGGGTCTTACTCATAAGCAATGCTACAAGGACACCAACAAAAGTCAGTGTCCAACATGTGTCTATAGTGCCCAGTATTTTCCTCAGAAAAACTGACAGCATGAACTATTTATATTATTTTATTTTTTATATAGCATTTCTAATAAAGTTTCTTGATATTATATACATGTGTGAATTGTAAATTGGTAGCGAATACTGGTCCTCTTAAGGAATTCCTGAGTTCACATTTCAAGGTTAACAATTTATATTATTTTATTCACGCCCATCTCTAGAAGTTTCGAAGTGTCAACATATAACCATTGTTTTAAAATGTGGCCGAATCGCCGCATACGTGCCGCATATACGGCCGCATCATGCGGTATGCGTCAGAAGGCACATCGCAAAAAAGCGCATATGCGCTTTGGTGGGATGCAACGCATCCCACCGCATATGCGGCCGCATAGCGCATCGCATCGCATATGCACTGCATCAATGTGATGAAAAACAAAAAAATCCTCAAAAAGGGGTATTTAGGTAATCTCCCCCACTTCCCCCCCTCCCAAACAAAAAAAAAAAAAAACAGGGGGTTTCAAGGGTTTGGGGGATTATTAAAACCCCATAAACAGCAAAAACAGCCACTTTCATGGCCTTTTTTTTTCTCATCAAATTGATTAAAAAAAATGGCAGAAATGTTTTGATGTTGAGCTAACCATAGGGGAAAATAAAGAAATATGGCCTAACACTAGAACACAAAAGAGTAAAAGATCGGTCCAGTCGATGTCAGTTCCAAAGGTCGAGGAGGAGGATGAGGCCGAATTTGAGGAGATCGAGGAAGAAGAATATGTGGAGGCCGCCGAGGATGATATTGTTGATGATGATGCACATGAAGACTCTCTAGATAACTCGTCCAATAAAGATTTGAGATCTAGACTTGAGACTTGAGAAATGATGATGATGTCTTGACTTTTGAACTTTTCAATCTTAATAGACCTTTAGTTTGTGACTTTAAAGTTTGCAGTTGCGATTTTGTGATATGGTATGTGAATGTTTATTAATTATAATAATATGATGCCATCTAAGTTCTATTGTCTTCTATAAAGTTAGTTTCAAGTTTCTAGTTTCCACCTTTGATATTTTTTATAATTTTTTTATATTTATTGACCACATCGGGGTGCTGCACTCGCATCTCGACCGCATTGCCCCCCCCCCCCTTCCCCCCGCCGCATCAGGACCGCATCCTGCATTTTAAAACACTGGATGTGACACAAGAGAAAAGATGGCATGCTGATATTCAAGAATCATGATGTCTAAGAGAAGTTTAAGCAGCTTGACTCACCAAGGAAAGAGATGAGGTTGGCCTCATTCCCAATCCAAGAATATCTTGCTAGCATTTGAATTCTCTTTACCACTTTCCATCTCTCCATATCACTTTGTTTCTTGTCTTTCCCCATGTCCTTATCTTTAAAGGCTATGTCCTTGTTTGATCCAAGCAACTTGACATAATCTGCCTGGGCTACCCGCAAAAGAAAAAGAGTAGAGGACTGTACTTCAATATTACACCTCCTATTTGCTGTAGTAAAGACACCCAAGCCTCATGGATTTAGTCAGTTACCATTCTTTGAATGGCAGCCTCTAGAGACACTCCTGACTACACTACTTGCTAATGGGCCAAAGAGTTAGATTGTCAGCTAAAATTAGACAAATGGGCAACCAATCAATTCTGAAATAGAAAGACAAAAGATAATGCACTTTCTAAACTTAGCCAGAGGAGCAAGGTGTCTTCTCGATTTGGTTATAATTCAAATCTAGCATAGTGGCTAACTTTTATCTTCTAAACAAAGCTCGTTATGTCTTTAGTTGCCTACATCTGGAAGCACGAACAACTGAGAGAAAGCCTGATAGCATCTTTTTAAAGTAGCAACTGCTGCTCCATCATAAACATTGTATCAGTTGCACAAGATTTTTCCACAGAAGTCCGTCTTGAATTTCGAACAAATAGCTGTGTTTCCTAGTCCTTTCTTCTTAGTTTTTTGTTCGGCCTGCGCATTGTTGAAGGGGTTATCTCACCCATGTTTAGAGTCCTAGCGAATTTCTCAAATTGAGCAGGAAAAATGGTAGTTCAACAAAGTATAGAAGAACGATATGACAAGTATGAAGCTTTAGAGAGATCCCAAGCAAATCCTGTTTGATATTCTACCCTCGTTATTTGTTAATTATTTGCTTATCACTTGTTTACAGACAAAATTCCACAGAAGAACGAAAGCGGAAATCATAATTCCCTTTTAAATAGACAAAAGCCTCATCCCACACACATTCTCCAGAATTACCAACTGATTGATTTCCGTATCATTTCCCAACAAGAAGAGAAAGCGCCTTCCAATCAAAAAATAATAACTAAAAAAAGAAGAAAAGAATGAAGTGCAAATATGTAGCCGTACAGGTCACAGACTTCACAACTATCACAGAAAAAACTATGCCCTGGAAAGAGCAGCTATATTGCTAGAGAGAGAGCAAATAAAATTCGAATTGAAAGGCATACCGTGCATGCTATAAAAGTCAATAGAAAGAAGGCCTGATCTCCAAGGCCCATTCGTGAAAAACCCAGATGAACATGAACATTAGGCTCACTAACCCCAACACTCAATTTACTATCATCACTAAGCCCCTCGCTTTCAGAGAAAGCCCCATCACCCACTTCCTTACCCTGCTCAATATCTTTCGAAAGGCCGTGGCTTCGCATTTCTTCTTTAGAAGAACAACAAACCAGAGAAAAACATCTCCCCTTTTTCTGTTTCATAGCCGAATTTCCATCGAAAACCTGAAATCTGAGACACCAATGTGAATTAAATGCCACTTTTTTAATCCCCCTCTTTTGAGAACCAGACCCATGAGTTGGGTGAGAAAAACACAGAGAGTGGTTACTGAATTTTGCAGATATTAGGGATAAAGAAGAGGATGGAGGTAGAATTTGATGCATGTTTGCATGAATCGAAGGTTGCTGAGATAAATTATTCTTTTCTTCCTTTCTTTTCCACTTCGACTGACAAATGGTTGTGAGCTAGAGATATGATCAAACCAAGATTTTTTCAAAAAAATATATTATTTTTTTAAAAAAATTTATTAAATCTCCTCAACTTACCCCCATCAAATTTGATTCTCTCGTATTTTTCCTAGTAATCTATTTCCTTCCCAAAACCCACCCAACCTAAAAAAAAAAAACAAAGTTCGTACTGCCCTCCCAAGTTTTTATCGTTCTCTTTCATACTTTTTTATTTTTATTTTTATTTTTATTTTTTACCTCGGCTTTCCTTTCTCTCTCTCTCTCTCACATGCTCCCTCCCCCACTTTTTCTATGTGAGATATAACAATCTTAAACTTTTTTAAAAAAAATTTTTTTTTTTAATAAGTGATGGTCCATATAAGTATTATAGTCCTTAAAGACCATCACCATTTTTATTAACTTTTCCTTTCCTTTACTATGTCCGAGGTGAGCTTTAAACATTTGATGTGTAATATAATTGTTACACCTCATGTATAAAGTGTAACTTAATAAAATAATATAAAAAGTTATCTTAAGAATTTAAATAGGAGCGGCGAGGACTCCCACCTTAGAAAATTTTTTAGATCTTTCTCTCTCTAGTCGAAACACAGTGAGCACTTCCCTCTAACCGAATTTTTATCGGAAGCTCCTTCTCAAATATTTGAAGTAAGTGACTTCATTATCTTGAAAAATAATATGTTCTTTTTAAAAATGAAATGAAATAATTACTTCTGCTTATTACCATAAATTTTAGGCGCAATAAATTTTATGCGCAAATGACCTCATTATTTTGAAAAAAAATATTTTTTAATAAAATTGTGATATTTTATCTATGTTAGAAATCTTAAATGCTGTAATATCTTAGAAAAATAAATTTATTTATTTTTTTTGTCTATTGTTAGAAAATTTTAGATACTGTAAAATTATTAAAAATAAATATGATATTCCTGCTTTTAGTAAAATTGTGAGATTTCTTTCTACTGTTTTTTAATATATAGACATTTGTAAATTTCATGTACAAATGACTGCCTTATTATTTGAAAACTAATATTTTACAATTAATTATAGCATTGTCTGTGAAATATTTATTTGCGAATTAACATCCCATAAATTTAATAATTCTGTATTCTTGAATTTCTATAAGAATTTTTCTATACATATTAGATTGGCAATTATGCTAAAATATCTTTACGAACTGCTACCTTTCTAAATTTGAGCCCAAAATATTTGACTGGTTATTTTTAAAATGTTATTGAAAGTGACTGTTATTAATGGTTTCAGTGAAATTCATATTAATCGTTTCAGTGATATATTGAGTACATAATATTGCTGTTTTCGAATGTTTAAAGAGATTTAGAAATACTTTAAGTATGTAAGTGGATTCATCCGGTTCGCCGGTGAGGTATAAGTGGACCTATCCGGTACGCCGATAGGGATTAAGTGGACTCATCCGGTACGTCGGTGAGGTATAAGTGGGCATGCAGGGATTAAGTGAACTTATCTGGGACGCTGATAGGGATTAAGTGGACCCATCAGGATGCTAATGGGGTATATAGGTGACCTACTTGGAACGTCAGTAGGGTATTTTGTGAAATCTTTTGAATTATGCACTGACGTTAAAATGTTATACGCATTTCAATTATTCGAATTATACTTAATTATGCATTTTTTAAAGTGAAACTGTTGATGCATTTCAGTTAATAGATCTCCTTTTTGAAAATATTGATATCTTTCAACCATGATTATTTTTAAGATTAAGATGATCACTTACTGAGTAGCCAAACTCATCAAATTATGGTAAACATATTTTCAGGATAACTATGGTTTCATTTTGAGTGCTCGTCAAAATCAACTCTGGAAGATATTGTAGTTGTGCTTAAACTTTCTTTTGTTATTTTGTAAGAATTCGTCACTGTAAATTTGTCCTATCAAGAGATGTTTATATGTTTTAACTGTCACATCTTAAGAATATCATTATTGTAAATTCTTGAGGCCTAACATTTATGGTATCAAAGCAATAGGTTTAAGATTCTTAGGAAATTTGAAACGAATGTACTTAAAATCAAATTTATTATGTGTACAGACCGGGACGAAGTCAAGATCCAGAATAGCTGAAGCTAATATGGAAGGAATTCACAAAGCCTTGAAAATATGGTTGCCCTAATGCAACATCAGATGGAAAACAACAATCCACCCAGGTAGTCAGTTACGGGAAATGGTGGGAGTAATATCGAACAATTTAAGAAATTGAACCCACCTTCTTTTAAGGGTGTTGTAAACCCACTGGAAGCCGAGGGATGGATTATACCATTGGAGAAAATATTCGAGGTAATGGAATGTCCTGATGATAGGAAGGTAGCCTTGGCAGTTTTTATGTTAGAAGGTGAAGCACAACATTGGTGACGAATGGCAAAAGGAGTATTGGTCAAACAAAATAAACCTTTGACTTGTGAAGTATTTCTAGAGGCATTTAATGAAAAGTATTTCCCAGATTTTATTCGAGACCGAAAATAAATGGAATTTCTAGAATTAATCCAAGGAAACAGGGTTGTAGCACAGTATGAGGCCAAGTTTACTGAATTGACCAGGTTTGCACCTCATATGATTAACAATGAGGCAAGAAAGGTGAAAAAAATTGAAAGGGGTCTCAGACCAGCTATTAGAAGCAGAATATCAGTCTTAAAATTGAGAACTTATGTTGAAATAGTGGATCGAGCCCAAATTCTCGAAAAATATTTCAAAGATTACCAAAAGATAAAAAATCAGAAAAGTCAGGTTAGACCCACACCATCTAATCAACAACAGCTTGAAAGGACAAACAAGAAGCCAAGGCTCTTGCCACTTCAAAGCCCAATAGAACCATGTAAGAAATATGGGAAAAATCATGGATTGAACCCTTGTTATTGGAATACTGGAGCCTGTTTTAAATGTAGAAAATTGGGATATCAGATTAGAGAATGTCCAAGCTTACAGATGCAACAGCTTTCAAAGCAGGGAGAGATAGCTCAAAAGCCTCAAATGAAGGGAAGAGTATTTACGATCACCCAGCAAAACGCTCAGACCTCAAAATCAGTGATCCAAAGTACTCTTATTATCTTCCAAAAAGTAGCTCATGTTTTAATTGATCTTGGATCTACTCATTCATTTGTGTCACCACACTTTGTATGCCACTTAAAGGTAGAACCAGAACAATTAGAATACATTCTAAAGGTAGCCACACCGATGGAAAATTCAAGTAACACCAATATAGTGTACAAATCATGTATAATAAGGATAGAAGAAAAGGAATTGTTGGTTGATTTAATACTCCTAGAAATTCAAGATTTTGATGTAATCTTAGGCATGAATTGGCTTTCTACATATCATGCAAGTATTTATTGTTACAAGAAAATGGTTACCTGTAGTATTCCGAGTCAACCAGTATTTTACTTCAATTGTATCAAAGAAGACTCCCCATCACATTTAATCTCTTGTATTCGAGCTAATCGTCTCCTTCAAAAAGGGTGTCATGGCTTTCTTGCCTATACCAAAGAAGATAGGAAGGAAGAGATAAATATGGATACCACTCCGATTATCCGAGAATTTTCCTGAAGAATTGCCAGGATTAACGCCTGACAGGGAAATTGAATTCTCTATTGAATTATTGCCAGGGGTAGCCTCAATTTTTCAGGCACCTTACATAATGGCACCTGCAGAACTTAAAGAACTTAAACAACAATTGGAAGAATTATTAGATAAAGGTTTTATCAGGCCCAGTGTGTCATGTTGGGGTACTCCGGTATTGTCTGTTAAAAAGAAAGATGGGACCATGAGATTGTGTATAGATTATAGACAGTTGAACCAAGTGACAGTGAAAAATAAGTATCCATTACCTAAAATTGATGATTTATTTGATCAATTACAAAGATCACAAGTGTTTTTAAAAATTGATCTTAGATCTAGATACCATCAGCTTTAGATTAAAAGTGAAGATGTTCCCAAGACAGCTTTCAGAACAAGGTATGGCCATTATGAATTTTTAGTCATGCATTTTGGATTAGCCAATGCACCGGTTGCATTTATGGATTTGATGAATCGGGTCTTTAAGCCCTTTTTGGATAAATTTATTGTGGTATTCATCGATGATATTTTAATTTATTCCAAGAATCAAAAGGAACTTGAGCAGCATGTAAGAATGGTATTGCAAATATTAAGAGAAAAGAAATTGTATGTCAAACTTAGTAAATGTGAATTTTGGCTTGAACAAGTGACATTTTTAGGACATGTCATATCAAAGGAAGGTCTGTCAGCTGATCATTCAAAGGTTGAAACCATTGTTAATTAGAAACAACCAAGTAATGTGGCTGAAGTTCGAAGCTTTTTGAGATTGGCAGGATATTGCAGAAAATTTGTAGAAAGATTTTCTCGAATCGCAA